AAAACCCTCTGCAAGCGTCCACCTAGAGATGACAAGCATTCCTCACAGGCACAGAAATACATATACATATGTAAGCTAAAATATGTACGCTAACATAAAAAAAATGCACCCAGAGGGAAAACCCTTTTTGTTGGTGAGTAAATCTTCTATACAGGGAACACATTTAATTTTGTTCCATTTACAAAGGTCTAGTGGAGTAAGATGGTGGGTAGCCTTGAGAAAGAAAAAAGAAACACAAGTCAGCCTAACTGTGAAGTCTCTGTGAAGAACAAGGCAGCACTCGCTCACACACCAAAATGAAATTTCAAAATAAACGACTGAGCTGTGATTTACAATTCTCCTCCGGGGCAGAGAAAAGTGAGAACACATCAGTCCCTTCTGCCTTTGTTATGCCGCTATGAATCAGCTGTTTAAGGGACAAAACAGCTGAACAGCGGCGAGAGAAAGACTCACACCAGAACACAGGACATATTGAGAGGTATATTCCTGAGCTCATGAAATTGGGTTTTAAGTTGTTGTCTTGATTTGTGCCTGATTCAATCTGGGTGAATTGTGCTCGACTAAATTGACTGAAAAACAACAAAGCTGGGCGATATAATGGAGATATTTCAAATACTGCCTTTACCTATAACAGGGAAAAATCTGAAAGCTTGTAAAGCCGGATGTAACACACACCTAAATCATAAGATCTTATTTTGACTTGCAAGTGGTTAAAGAACAAAGCTGGTGTCTTTCTTTATTTGATTCTTGTTAACCATTCTCCCAAAAGAAAACAACAACAATGTGTTAGTCTGTCTCTAACCCCCTAACCCGCCCCAAGCCCATTGGTTCCTTCCTGACATCTTTGGAGAAGACTAACAAATCCTTAGTTTCATTTTTAAAGTCTGTCATTTCCTGAAACAGCTGGTAGCATTTGCTGTTACACCACCTTGTTTTGTGTTGAGGACTATTTTCAGCTGCAGATTACTTCACATTGGATGCTCCACTGAGTATTTAAAGCAGCAGGATGGTGTGTGTGTGGGATTGAGAAACTACAGTGTGTTCATGCTAATAAAGGAACCCGGTGCAACAGTGACTCATTGATGTGAATTTGGACAATGGAGCTCTATTGCACAGAGGAGAAGAAAAAGGTATTTTTGGATACAGAGATAATTCATTGTGTTTGTTTTTCCATGGGATTTGATGACAGAACTGCATAATATCACCAGCATTATTTCAGGGTAAATGAACAGTGAGCGTTATTATAGATTGAAACCGATCCTATTGTGTGTTAAACCTTTTCCCAAGAGGTCAGGAGGGAGTTGGGGGTGGCGGTCCCTCTGAGTCCCATTTAAAGCCCAACGTGGCCGCGGCTCATTTCTCAAACTCATCTCAGATGCACCCACACCGGCCTAACGAGAGCCCATGTAGGGACAGAAACCTATTAGGCCTCCCCAGTTACAGACAGCATCTCCGTTTACAGCTGTCAATAGTACAGCTTGGCCTACAATAATTATCCCAGAGGAAGGAGATGTCTCTGTGCGGCTCGCATTAGTCGGGCCCCCCGAGACCACCAACCTGAATCCTTCGATATCTAAAGTCCCCGTGAATAGCTGCGCTTTGGGAGGCAGGATCAAGGCCTGAACCGATGGGGGGGAAGTGTGTCACGAGTATTCCCAGTCCTCTCCTCTCTGCATCCCTCGCCTTTAACCAGATGTATCAGTGTGAGAGTGTGTGAGTACAGTCGTAGAAAAGAGATCAGCGTGAGTAGGAGGAGGAGGAGGAGGAGGCCGCTGAAACCAGAGATCCCGGGCAATTCCTTTCAGGATCCACCAACATAAAAGGATCGCCTCTCCTAGGTGACCTAACCGTTTGGAAACGATACTGAAGCCGTGTACAGTTAAGGGAGGGAATTCAAAACAGCCCCGACCAAAGAAGCCACAAAAAAGAAATCAATAGACGCAACAATAACAATCGACATCAGCGCAGCGGAATGCCATGATAGGAAATCCAATTACAAATCAAAGGGAGGCAATTTTAGGAAACGGGGAGAGATCTGGAGATAAGTCTGAGGCAAAGACAGTGAGAGAGATGTGACACGGAGACAATAACAACCGCTGCTTCCCCCCTCTTTAGACGTAAGTAACACCCTGCTTCCCACCCAACAGCGTCGTCTTAGATAATAGAGTTACATTTACGAGCGTTGCCATATGCCCACCCAGTGCCTGGTAAATAGAAAATCCATGAGATGCCATGTTTTTATGGTTCTGAAGACAGCTACTAACTACCATGAGCAAACCTGAGCTACCCCCGTCAGCATCGGCTCGTGCCATAAATATATTTATACTTAAATACGGGGCCTACAGCGGTGAGCATCGCATGCCGTAAAAAGCCTCCCCACACTGTAATTCATAACTCCCTCAATATCCCGCGCCATAACTCACGAAAAGAGGCACCACAATACGAATTGACGGTAGGAGAAAAGTGACATCATCCTGCGGAAGGATGGAGCCGGCACCCCCGTGAGGTGGAGAAAGTCTCCCCCTGTCGAGGAGAGGGACGGCCCTTCAGCGGTGGTGTGATACCGCTATACTTTTATTTATTTTGTGTAATCAGAAGCCCACAGTTCTCCCACCACACCGCAGGGAGTCTCTCCTTGTGTTAATGAAAACAAACATTTAGCCAGGATTTATATGCGCCGCAGCCGACTACAAAGAGCATCAAAGCAAACTGCCTGGGAACACACACCTAACACTGCTGCACACAAATAAAGGCAAGGTATGCTTCACTAATCTTTTATGTAATAAACTCCTGTCTTCCTGTGATATCACGCGGCGCCATGTTCACACATAATAAGCAATGCTGTTCGCGGCCCAACTTAATACAGTGTCTTATTTGAAATGCAAACAAACTGTGAGGCAGAGGCTATCACCTCAATCTATTCCCCTTCTGTTCTCTGGCTGTCATCTCACGGAGCCGCGCTGCAGCCCATGCACTGTGGAGAAGGGGAGGAAAGTAGGGGAGTACTGCTGGTACTGTATGAGGGGGACGGGGGGGAGCATCCTATGAAGGATGGGTGGTGTGGAGAGGGGGGAAGAAGCCGGCCACAGTGTGATTCAGAGGGTTGTTTCCCCTCACAGCGCTGCAGGGCGAGGATTTACCGCAAAGGGGGGAAACAAGAGAAAAGAACAAAAGCTGCTGATACATTAAAGGGATTTGAAACAAAAAGGGATGTTTCATGAACATAGCACACAGGAAGTTTCAATTTCAGCCCTGTGTCGGACTTTTAAAGAAACCTAGTGTGGACACACACACACACCGCTTACTGGCCATGCTGAGGATTTGGATGTAAGAGTGATGTAGTTGCAGGTAAACCTGCCTCGACTCAGTTTGCTAACATGTTAACCTGGTGAGCTCAGGAAGCCTTTCACAGCTTGATAAAAATGCAAGGTATCATATTGTCGTTAAAATACAAAATATTAAAATGTGAGGAAATTAAAATGAATGGAAGAAAATAAATACAAATTTAACACAACATTCTAACAGGTTTTCATAATTGTTTGCGTCAGCCTGATCCTCCACAGTACACTCACTAAGCAACAATTTGGATTAACTTTAAAAAATATGAATATATGAGAAGTAGTTAATGCCTTGGCTCGCCTACAGTGTGTGTTTTGGTGGCACCTGGTTGTCCACATGCCCCCCCCCCTTCCCCCGTCCCCGGCTGGCCGGCGGGGTGTGCCCGCTTTGGACAGATGGGTGGGAGGGGGTGAGGGCCGTTACTGTGATGGTGGGGGAGAAAGGGGGATGAGGAAGATTCTAAATGTTTGCATCGCAGAGCTTCCCTCATCACTGCAGTGACACACACTGTTTACTGCAACACATGCAGCTGGTTGTAAAACTGAGTTGGA